TCTGTAATTTCAGTTTTAAGCCTATTCAAGTCATATTTCTCACAACAACATGTCAAATCTTGCAATGCTTTTTTAAATAGAAATCTTATCTCATCGTAAGAAAATAAAATAAAGGTATGACTGCCATAAAAACAAGATGAATTTAATCAACTACAGGTGCCTAAAAAATATCTCGAATTCCATGCTTGGATGCATTTTTCGTGGGTATTTGATGTTGGCAATCGCTATCCGTTCCAGTGCACATTCTGTGATTATTCAACATGTCGCATCCCTGGTCTCATATCTCACACATTGGAACAGCATGGTAGAATGGGTAGTAACTTATTCACTTCGAGTATACCACCCCATGTATTGCAACTATATTTCATTAAAGTTATCGAATGCTTTCCACCGCTACATTGCAGTCGGTCTATTGACATGCACCGTGGTAATTTCATGAAATAATATTATTAAAACATTTTCATTTTAATTAGTGCTTCAAAATCATCTTTTAGCGTCTTCCTGACAATAATGCATCTAAAAAATAATCGGGATCATAATTTTATTACTACTGCTATTCTCTTAATTTTTATCATTGTAAGTCCTTTTTTTCATTGATTTCATTTATTGATTTATTGTGCGAGTGGAATTAGTTATCTATATTTCAAAGTCTGGTTAGTCATATGTGCTGGGATTTAGAATATTTTATATTCTTAGTATTTAAATAAATTTGAACTTCATATTCTTCTTATAAGATATATATTTAAAACAGAACACAAAATAATTGGACTCACTCGCTACTTTATTTCTTGTTTGATGCTGTAATGTTTTGGTAAAGTATGTTCAGTCTGTTTTCTTGCTTCATCAATGCAGAATGAAAGCAGCTGAAGATGGAATCACAATTCCTTCTGGGTCTTATTTTTTCCATTTCTACAAAATTCCACACGCCTGTTTTGTTTCTTTAAATGAAAATGAAAAGATGACTGGTTTGCATTTGAATCTTAACTTGGATCATTATAAGGTCTCAAACATTGCGGTTGTAATGGTTTATAAATGCATATTTTGATTGCATGATGTTAAATGGTGATAAAAAATAAATATTGACAGAATAAATGCATTTCCTGAGCTCATGAAGTGAAAAATAAAGATGCTAATGAAGTAAAAACATCAAAGCAAAGACTTTAAGTCTGGAAAGAAAAGTCGAACAAAATTTAAATCGACTAATTTGCGACAAATTTGTCTTACAGAACAGTGAGGTAAATAACCGAAGATGACATCAGTTCAACTAAAAAGAGGATAAAATTATAAAAATTCTTCACTAAAAAAGTACGTTTCGGAAATTCAAAAAGCTTAAAAAATTACAACGCTAGAAAATCAAGAATAAGTGGTATGGACTGGAAGATTGGGGAACTCAATAAAACAGAGTCATGATATACAACTCTCTAATCTAAATCTTTTAACTTGAGATCAAGAATAGTGAAACCAGGCAGATCAATAATACTTATTCCGTTTTCTTTTGACAGTCATTATTTTTGGTACTTTAAATAATTTAAATTCTAATTTTTTATTTTATTTACTTTTGGTTTCAGATTATGTTGTTCTGCAATACCATACGTATTTTTTGCTAGCATTTTGGATTAGTAAAAGGACGCAATAACTTTTAGTGGAACTTGGAAAAGCGCCTGTAATTTTTGTTACAGATGTCAAAAATTTAGCGCACAAGTCAAGGAATTACAACATCATCACTTTTAATTGACATGTATGTATTTCATTATCAAATTTAACTTGAAAAATTCTAGTAGGGTTTTCGATTTCTGTAGTTTATCGTCATTCAAAAGATCAATAATTTTAGAAATTTAATGCCCACCAAAAACTATCAAGTATTTTGGAACTCGTTGAACATGCAATACTTTTGTTTCACGAAGTTAATCATACATTTACTATGGCTAGATATCCATGAATGCCAAACTTTAGCTGATTTATGAAACTAATATTACACTTCTCTATCAGCATGTTTTCATTCTTTGTGGTCATTGAATGTTTTCAGGAGTTTTCATTTCCTTATCGCTTAGTTAATTTGTTCGTCTTAACTGGTTACCTCTCAAAATTTCACCAATTTCAAATGAAATTTTAATGCGTCATAAATTTTGCTTGCAGAAAAGATAACATAAATGCGTTCTATTCAGATGCTAAGATCATGTTCAGAAACTACTCAGCCAACCTATAAAGGATCCATCTAAAAATGTGTTCAAGAAGTCATTAATGCAATATCGTGAAAAAGCATTGAAAATTCTTGGAAATTATAATTCAGCACCAATTTGCACTGATTCGCCGGAAGTTAGATTTAACGTGTTCATCTCACAGACATTCATGTCTGCTCCCCCGGGTACTCTTTTTCGATCAGCCTTCAACATTATTAGTAATTTAAAAAATTTTCTTCAAGAACGAAAAGCAGGCCTATCGAGCATCGGAAAAATATCTCTGTCTTTTCCACAAACTCTCTTTAGTTCCACATTAATGACACCTGATGAATGGCAAAAACAGCATACTATTCATAACCTGCACTAGCTACTGTCTACCAAATCCATATTAAGTAGATCCATTTTGTCTTTTCAATTCTG